ATTCTACGTAGGACAAAGATTTTTTAAGAACACAATGAAAACCGAGAAGGACCTCAAAACAAAACAAATGAAAAACCTGCATATAATTTGAAACGTGAACCAAATTATTCTATATTGATTACAGATTCTTTAATGCAATTTTGATATGTGAACATTATTGGGAAGTGACTGGAGGTGGCTCAGTAAACACAAAGCCGAGTGGATAATGAACAAAATGTGAAAAGTACAGAAATGAGCCAAAGTTTCTGCTGTTAACTTTCCTTTTCTCTGTTCAAGTCGCCCAGTGGATAACGATGCAATAGTAGCATCTCTAGAGAACAAAAGTCACTGGTTTTGTTCTGAGTTTGGGTTATAGGCCAATAACCCTAATTACACACACAAAAAAAAGCTCACACAAAAAGCAGTTTCTGGAAAAAGATAGATAAATAAAAATAAGTAGGGGTGGTCTAAAAGGTCAAAATTGCTGCAGCTTCTCCCTTAAGCAGTTGGTGTCAGCAGACTTGATTTCATAATTGCCTAAAACTTTTTTTCCCCCTTATGTAAATCTGTCTGGCTACTAAATAAATACGTTACATAAACCAAGTGTCAAATCTAAAAAAAGAAAGAGGGAAACAGTTTCTCCACTGTTAAACGGAGCGAAGCAGACATCTACAGGAGTGCCACAGATCACAACCCTGACGCAGAACTTTACCACAGACTTCGCCTTTTCTGTCTTCGCCTGAAACACCGCTTCTGTGAAAAACTCACGTTCTGGTGCGACTCATGACAACAGTTTTTATACAGCGACAACTTTTACACCTTTAAACGTCGCTGACCTCCTTGCGCGCGATGCGACAGACCTGCGTCACATCAGAAAACGAAGAAGAAACGGCGAAGGCCAGCCAGAGAAGAAACGGAGGTGTGTAGAAAAATGGTCCGACTGATTTCAAAAGCTGTGACGACTTAATCAATAGAGATGCTGTTTTTTTTTTTTTTGTTCTTAACGAAGAGAAACACTAAATGTGGACTTGCTTAGTAAGAAAGGTTCATTTCATAATTAACTTTGTTTTGGAGAGAAAGTGTTTTTTTTTCATCTTCTTGATAATTAGAATACAGAAGACATTTTACAATTATTTATTTTATTTTATTTTTAAAGGGGAACGTAAAATAAAAACGTTTCAGGTTGGGAATTTTTTTTAAATTTAAGAATATAAGTTATTTAAGGAATATTAAGGGTGTGGCCTCAAATATTCTTGTAAAAAAAAGACACATATTAAGTCTGGCGTTGAGCATCACTCAAGCTGGACTTTTGGGCACAGAAGTGACAGTGCCTTCCAAAAATATTCATAGTCATATTCACATTTTGACACATTTAAACCCATATTTCTTTGTATTTCAAAGTCAAATTGTTTGAATTTTACTTTTGAGCATGAATCTAGTTGTTCTGTGAAGGCTGTGAAGAACATTTATGAACAAAATCAGGGTCATAACATCCCAACCTTTGAACATTTCACATGTCAGCGTTCAGTCCATCAGCTGCAACAATGGAAAGAGGATAGTAAAAAGCACAAATGGAACGAAATGGGGAAACGGACAGCGAGGGAAAGCACAACTGTTCACCTTCCATCTGTTAATTGTCCCATAATACCCAGAGAGTGCACTGCTTTAACCTTTCCCTCAAAGCAAGGAAGTGTTGAGACTCTGTGGCTAATTAGAACTGTCGTATAGTCGGGCTCTGTTTATAGAACTTCCTCCCTGTCTGCTCTCCGTTTCAAAGACAAAAAGACGAGAAAACGTGAAAATGTTTCCAACCAGAGCAGGAGGTCAGAAACTGAAACATGGTCACTTTTTGTTTTAGGTTTAATTTGGCAGGCGGTTAGCTGTCTCTGTCCGTGGTGCTGAAGTGAACTCGTTCTCCCTGCTGCTTTACACACTCCAGTTTCTTTGTGTTTTCTTTTCAGACTTATTTTTCCTTTCAGAGTTCAGGCAAGTGATCAGCTGCTTGGTCTTTCACATGTCCCTCAATTAAACCAATTAAATAAAGGGTTTCATGAGGTGATTTTCATATGACAGACTCTTTAAAAAAAAAACAAAAAACAAAAAAAACTTTTTATAGACAAATTATGTGTTCAGTTGTAACTTAATGTTTTTTTTTAACAGGTAATTATTATTATATTTGCCATTGTTGCTTTATTTATATCCTAGGTGCATATTTACATCAAATCACAAAAACTTGTCTGTTGGCAAACTTTGATATTACAAAGCTAAGATTTTTTTATATAATTGCCAGTGGATTTGATACTAGTCAACAGACTGCAGAGAGGAGAAATAAAATATAATTGTACATGTCAATCCCAAAGTGATGTCGTCCTCTGAGTGACATCACAGAAAAAGGTCAGGACAGATGACCTTTGGGTCATGATAATCTGCTCTAGCTCATCTGAAGGTTTGTCCATTTTCTTCAAAGTTTATTATTATTATTATTTATTTATTTATTTTATTTTTTATTTTTTTTAAGTCTGGTATTAAATTTTTTGGGGGGTAAACCCCCCCCCCCCCCGCCCAAAATGTCAATAAATAAAAATGACAAAATTGTTGGCATCAAACAGTCACAGCCAGACAAAACGACTCAGCTTTGAAAAATAAACCAACATCTTTTATTTGGTCACACGTGTCCTCATCATTATATGTGCCAAAGGCGGTTCCACGCATTATGAAAACCTCTTTGCTCTTTATGTTGAATAGTATAAAGTGATTATATGCATCTGTGTCCTTTCCAAGTTTCGTCCTTTTGCCTTGCAGCCTCCTTCATTCACAACCTAAGACTCGCTTACAGACTCGATGAAAACGCCCCACAATCATTCCAGAAAACACCACTAGAAATGAACGGAGCCCATTGTTACAATTTATATCATTTAACATGCAAAGACAACAGAAAATGGCAGATTTTTCGTTATACTATGAAATTCTCAATATGCAGAAATCAATGGAAGTCCCTTTGCAGCTGACAAACTGGAAGATCTGACAGAACATGATTGGCTTGTAATTAAAGTCATTTAATAATTATAAACGCATATTTTAATGACAGAGTTGTGTGCTACAGGTCTAATGCAAACACAGAGGTACACCAATTACACAACTTTCAAAATGATGTTGATTGAACAACCAACTATTTAGCTAGGAAATGTTTTTTTTTAAACAAAGTTCCTAGTTGCTTTGCCAAAAGTTAAAATCTACAATTAATATTCCAAAAGCATTTACGTTTACGAGTTAAGTCAATAAATCAGGCCAGAATTTGGAGCAAAATCTGTTTTTGTTTCTGAACTTTCCAATTTAAACACCATTTTTTGTAGACATTAAGACAAAAACAGGAAATGCAACAAGTTCAACATAATAGCAAAATTTGTGATGTCTATGTATTCTTCAAAAGAAAAGAAAAATAAAAGCTTATGGAGATGCATGCCACTGAAAATCAAATGGACTCTAGCAGATTGTCTCCAAATGTAAATCTGTGAGGATTCCTTAAGACGTCACGCAGTTTGAGAATCGTCTTTGGAAATCGGGATGTTCGTCTTCGAAAGGAAAAAAAAAATTGACGCCAATGTGAGAAACTTTTGGGAAAAAGAACGAAATCTGAAAACAGATAAAAGTGGCCCCTGTTTTAAATAAACTCTTCTCGTAGCATTTCTGACCAATCAAACCTGCGCGCGCTCACACACACACCCACACACCACACACACACACACACACAGAGACACACGTTACTCAGTGCTGCCTGTAGAATCTTTAACCGTTACCATGATCTGAATACATACAGTGTAAACATGTACTGGGTAGATGGATAGATAAATAGCCACACCGATCCCGTTGTGAATGTCCTTTGCATCGAATACCATGTGTGTGCATTTTTATTTTTAAATGTGTTTATTTCTTTTTTGTTTGTTTGCTTTGTAAATAGCATTTTTATAAGATGAGATGAGGTATTCATTCCAACGTGGACCCCTCCTCAAAGTGGCTGCAAATGAGAAAAAGGACAAGGTTACCGATTCGAAACAAACAGAAAATCAATAATTTTTCAGACGTGTAGCGTTAAGCAGTTACCTATGTTTACTAAGGTAATTAAAAGCAGGACAGACACCATGAAGCATCTGGATTTTATAAGTATTTCTAATAGGATTTACAGTCAAACTACCGGGTAGATTGTGCACCATTTTGTTAGGCAACCTGAAAAATACCTATATTGGGGAAAGTTTTCAAATGGCACGTACCTGTCATATATAAATCTGTTTTAACAGAAGTAAAAATCCACTCTGTTGCCTTTACCAATGAATGACTATTAATGTATGATGCAAAAGAAAACTTATCCGTGTTAACGGATAATATTTTTATTCAACTCGATATCTAACGTAAGACAAAAAAAATATGCCGTGGATCAGTCTGAGCCACATTTGTTGCTTCTGAATTTAGGTAAAGTTTGCCACATTTCCAGGCAAGGATTGGGTGGAATTGGGTATTTTTACATATCTTCGGTCAAAGCTAAAGAGATACTTAGAAGACGTGAAGATACTCACCAGCTGAAAGTTGTTTAGGAGGTGGTCTACGTTGATGTTATCGTAGCGCTCCTGGAAAGAGGTGGGTTCATCCCTGGACTCTTCTGCTTCGCTGGTTCCAGGATCTTCTAGGCTGTTTGTGTTTAACAAGAGAGGAAAAGTCACACGAGAGTCTCTTTTTACATGCAAAAAAACACGAACGGGAAATATAAAATTCATGCCGACAGAAAACGCTTGTGATATTTATTTACTTCGTTTTTTTTTTTGCTTTTTGTTTTTTTTTCCAGATTCTACAGTGTTAAAATCTAGTGTGACTACGAGAGGCTTTGGGAGTCCCACCTTCTCTTTCCCGTTAGGAGAGAGTTCAGGTACTCCTTGACCGCCATCTGTTTCCGGAAGCGGCTGTAGTTGTCTGTGAAGATGGCGTCTGTGTGGCGCTTCGCCGGCTCCATCAGGTCATCACTGAACAGAAGGGGGAGGTCAAAGTTCAGAGCGCGGCAGATTAATGTGCACAGGCAAGGTCGGGTGTGTGCATGTGTCTGTGTCTGTGTGTGTGTTTGAGTTCTCCCAGGGTGTATCGGACACATGCAACAGAGAGCTTCCATGGCATAAATTAACCTTTAGAAATGTTTAACCAATTGCAAAACGCATCATGGAGCAGGTCAGTTCTTTTCATTTCAAATGTCACTTGGTCCTCTTGAACGATCAGTGAAATAAACTGTTGCTGTTTTTTTCTTGTTCCTGTCAGAAAGTTAAACTTTTTTTTGTTGTCTAACCAATTTTATAAAGAAAATGAAATAATGGGAGTGGAAATAATCTCTTCAGAACAAAAACTGAAAAAATATTTATATTAATTATGAAAATAAACACAGTAAATTGAAAAAGAAAATGTGATTAATTAGATGTCTCTTTTTCCCATTACTTTTATATGTAGCTTTTCCACTGTACAGAGGGGAAACAACCACTTTATTCTTCAAAAAAAGGGTTAAAGGGACTTCAACAATTTACAATTGTTACATACTCAAAATAAAAAATAAAAAAATAAAAAATAAAAAACTTTGTTCATTTTGTGAAATATTAAACTTCAAATTTTGCTCACATAATAAAAACAGCATAGTTACCAGGACACATTCACATCTTATTTTCTGTGCAGGAATGAAATAATTATTAAAAGTTGTGTTTGTAACTTTAAAACTCTTCATATTATGCTCGTATATTTCTGTGAAAATACAAAGATAAAGAAGATTTTCAAAGTTATTGATTATTATTTCTGTCACATAACAGTTCCTCTTAGATGCATTGTTTGTTTGTTTTTTCTCCCCAGAGCAACTGACAAGATAATAAATGTGTTTTGAGACATGATGGGTAAAATAAAATATATCTACACTTACAGTCCCCACACTTTTTTTGAATTTGTAGACCCAAGGAAGTGGTAAGGCTTTCTTTTATTAGCTCTTCCACTTTTTAAAATGCTTTTTAAAATCCAAGATTATAGAAATTCATTGTGAGCTAAGTTGGAATATTGTTTTTCTGTTTAATTTACATTACAAGACCATTCCTATTTTTTTTTTTCATATTTCACGATGCAATAATATTCACTCTCGTGTCCAAAATGTGTGACGCCTACCTGACGCGCTTCCCGATCAGAGACTCCAGGTACCTCCTCGCCGACAGCTGCCCCAGGAGTTTGCTGTATCCACTGGTGAACAAACCGTCTGCATGTCTCGTCGGTCTGCAAAACAATTACAGGGCGGGTCACATCAGAAGGCGCTCAGACTGGCTCCATCCGAACATCTGTTTATTGTGAAACAGACGCGCATCAGTCTGACCTGTAATTGTGCTAAATATGATGCAAAGGGCAACTGTACTCTGAGGAAATGCAAATGCGTAAAGTACAATTGTTTTAGGAGTCGGTCTGATTATCTGAGATGAATTAAAGTCGAATGATCCTGAATCACGTGTTTGAGATCTCGTCCGAGACACACTCAGCTCTGATGCTGGAGGTCTGCGCTCACCTCGTGGATGTGTACGGCAGACTCAGAGTCCGGGAGTATAACACACTGCACAGGGCTATTAGGAGAAGCAGGTGGGGGCCGGTCCGTTGTACCATCGCTTTACACCTAAGGAAGGAAATGGAGGCATGTTATTCCATTTTTTTTTAAATAAAAAAAATATTTTTTCTTCTAAATTACATTTTTAATTTCACACAGACACACACAATTGGAGAAGTTTTTTTTTTTACTCCTCGAACAACAGATCTGTGAATCCTTTTAATTTGAAAAGCGGTATGAAACTCAGGGTATCTCATGCGTAATTACGCACGGTGCCATGAAGAGCTGTAAACCACACACTACAATGCTGAACGGTTAAATCTGACGAGTTATTTTTTTTAAAACCAAGTTTCTGATTCAAATGCTCCGACTTTACCCCCAAAATGTCCTACGGAACGCTGGAATGGTCGAGATTTAATTCGTCCGTGCGTGCGTCTTTTTGTTGCGCAAAGATAAAGTCCAGATTTTATGAAAGAGAAAAATTTCTCATTATAAGCTTAATCTTTTGGTAGGTGAGATTACTGATCACACGCCAACCTTCAAGATTACCACAAATCTTTATATAAACTTAGAAATCGTCCAAAATTCAATGCGTAATTACGCATGGCACTGACAACAGCGAGCTCATGTGATAGGAAAGCGGAGAAATGTCCGTCTATTGCCTGTATGAAGTAATGTCGAGATTCTGCTAACTCCATAAAAAGCATTGTGTTTGAAGTCATACGCAACAAGTTACTACTTAGAAAACTTCACCCAAATTCTGAAACAGAAGCCCAAACATTTCCTAGAAAAAAATAAAAATAAATAAATAAAATAAAAGAATCTTACATTTGCTCTGCGGAAAGTTGCGATCGTCGGTTCTTCTCTTGATCCTATACAGCTGCTTGTAGCTCCAAACTGCTGACCCAGTCTGCCTCTGTCTGCCTGTTCCTGTTCGCCGTCGGTTCTGTCCCCGTTTTATACACCTGGATGTATCTGGCTTGCAGGAGGGAGGTGGGGGGACGTGAGCCCCATCAGCGGCAGCAGGAGACGTCAAAGGATGGCCGCTTCCGTCATCGGTCTTGCTCACGGTCGGAACCGAAGAGGCCATGTGCAGAGGTCTGTCGGAAGTTTTACTCTGAGTGTGTATTTTCCAATTAGTTGCGAGGAGAAATTAACTTATTCTTCGGGTTGACTCACCAGATTAAAACCCCCCTCCTAAACTCCCCGAAGGTTAAAATGAGCTGCGACTTCAACCTACATTTTGAAGTCGCAGCTCATTTCTCTCTGTCCTGGATGCTTGGATCACAGGATGCAAGCAGCTCTGGACATTTAGGGTTTTTTTTTTTAGGGCAACAATGTCCTTACCTCCTCTTGACTGGTCGTTTCATTGTCTTCTCCACTTGATTAAGAACCCGTGTCCCTGTCACGTTAACATTATGAATGGCACCGAACCGAACGCACAACCTTGAGAGACCCCAGTTCTCAAAACGATGTTGGAGACGTTTCTTCCACATGACTCAGAATTCTAAGTCAGAAAATGTGCAAGTCAGAGACTGGTGGGGATAGTGTTTATGGGAAATGATGGTATGAAACGCCAAGCTAAAATGAAATCATTCTGGTAGAGGTGATTGTCCAGGTCAGTGGTGGCTTTTGCATCTCCAGTGCAGTGGCTGGAACAACAGGCCATCTCGTTCAGATCCGGTGATATAGGAAGGCTGGAGGTCTGACTGTCTCCACAAAAACACTTCAGCAGTACGAGATGACAGGATGGTCGTCATTTAGGAGCGACAGTTTCATGTTTCCTACTGTTGAGCTTAAGTCATACCCTTCAGTACCAACATTTCCTGCTCCAATCACAAATTCTATTTATTTGCTAATCATCTCAGCTGTTCTTTGTCCAGTAACCACCCTCCCCTGTGTTAATACCACTAGACTACATTGAGCCTTGTCAGATCATCCTGGTTGCACCACTATTACTTTTTTGGCGGTGTCTTTCTCTGGTCCTCAGTGTTGTCTGTTTACTTTGCCATAATGTGTAGTTCTGTGGGTTTGTCAAGCTTTGTATTCTTTGAAGTTATTCTGGAGGAACTTATTCTGACTTCCTTGTGTCTGAATTTATTTATTTTATTCTATGTCATTTAAATCATCGCGATTGATTGTAATAGTTGTGAGTTAATTCTTGATTGTTGTCTTTTATAAGAAATAGTGTATTTATAGACTGTTGCACAGCACATTGGTGTAGCTTTAACTGGGTTAAAAGTGCTTTATAAATAAATTTGACATTGACATTGGATTGGAACTCCCTGACAGAAATCTGACAAAGACGGATAAAATCCGAAAACCGTAATTGTGGTAGTTATAATCTTGTGTACTGGATAAATTCTTAAAAAGTAAGAATAGAAACACTGACACTTTTTACATTTTTTTAGTGTAATCTTTCTGTTTTACTCCAAGGACACTTAAAAAAAAACATTTTGTTTTCATATAGTAGTATTTTTTTTAAAATTGAAAGCCAAAATACCAAAATCATTAGAGTTCATCAAAGCACACAAAGATCCTTTATTATTATGGCTTAAATCCAGTTCAGGTTTGCTCTGAACTAAGATGTTTTGTGGTTTCACCTGTTTAATATCATCACAGTATCAGATCGAATGCACTGAAACATTCATTCTTCAGAATGTAGTATTTGTTCTAATCGTTGTATTTCAGTGTATATTAGAAGGATCCAGAAGTCTTCAGAAGAACAAAGGAGCATCTTCTGAAAAATCAAAAACCTGTCAATGGAGGAGATGATTTAATCAATTAAAAAAAGATTTGGAGCTTAAATAATCAGACACACTATTAGGAATAAATTATTTCTTTGTCATCTTCTTGCCTCTTCAAAACATAAATACTTCACTCATCAACAATGTCAACAAAATCCTCCAGTCCTCTCTCCTTGCCCGCTCCATCCATTCATTTATTCACAAAGCAAAATGGGCTCTGGAAATCTTTGAAATTACCACCGCTGATAAACGCAGCTAAGTATTTTACACCCAAAGACACTGATGCTGTTTTTTTTGTAATTTTTTATTTCATTTTTTTCAGGTTGTTTGGGGGCTTTTACGAAAGAACCGCCACGCTGCGCTGAATTGTTTCTGAGTCCACCCACAGTGTTCTCGATGTGCCCGGTTTGTTTTGCTGGAACAGCACAGTGAAAGAGCCATGACGTCAGCTGGCGCCTCATCCGCACGTCCTGCCGTCCGTCCATCCATCCATCCGTCCATCCATCCATCCATCCGTCCATCCATCCATCCCTCCTTCTTTTCGTCTTTCCATCCATCCGAATGAGTATGAACCATTTATCTTGAATCGCTGCAGTGGAAAAATAAAAATGAAAATGACAGGCTGAAACATGCGAGATACAGAGGATAAAGAGAGACTCTTGATGTAACAAAGTAGAAATATGGAAAAACTGCAGCTTTATTTTGAGTGATCCATGGGTTTTTGTTTCCTTTGGGTATGAATATGACAGTATACGCTTGCACAAAAGTCCCTTTTATCTTACCACCACTCACAGATGGTACGGGACATATTGTTAGAGGACAGCAGCAAAGGGGGAGTGATCCAAAACATATGGCTCAACAAGCACGGAAATAGTTTTAACAATTATGATATCAACTTTCTTCCATGGATTAAAAACAAAACAAAGAAAAATAACCCCAAAACAACAACAACAAAAGAACAAGAACGGTAAAGAGAGAGAATTAGAGGGACAAAATGAGCATGTATCGCAAGTATAATTTATTTTAGACAATAAAAGATAATATGTAGTAATGAACTGAAGAATGAAAAGAATAATAGTAAAACAGGAAAACATCAGGAAAAACATGATCACCTACATCTTTGCTATAGCAAACTATTGTATAGTACAATCAATCAATCAATCAATCAATCAATCAATCAATCAATCAATCAATCAATCAATCAATCAATCAATCAATCAAGTTTGTGTCGCACATTTCAGCAACAAGGCAGTTAAAAGTACTTTACAGCATGAAAACACAAAAATAAAAAGTCACAAAAACAACACGCAGTCACCAATTGAGAAACTAGAAACAAACACAACATTTTGAATCATCAATGCACATCAAATATGTTGGTTAATGTTTCATGTATCGCTCTAAACAGGTGAGTTAGTGCGGTCACTATCTCCACTTTACTCCTGTCAGCTTTGAGCTGCCTTCTTGTTTTCCAGATCAACTGTTTTCACTGTAAACAAGCGATCAGCTACTTTTTAAAATGGACAACAAGATCACAAGCCCGTCTGAGATCATCCTTCCTTTGAGATCTAGACTCCTGCAGATCAGCTGAAAAGTGGCCACAAAGAAAGAGGGCCTGAAGTCGAGCCACCAATATTACATTCTGATCAGACTTGGGGGAAAAATATAATCCATAACAATCATGAGGGATAATGTGGGATTGCCGGACGAGTGAGACGTTGTGAATTGATTCAAAACGAAAGTGCACAGAGAGGACAAATAGCATGTTCTTCCAGAGTCCGTCTGATCTGAAAAATACATTAAACAGAAGAATCTGGTGTACACAGTAAGATGGTCCACAAAAAACTTGCTTGTATCTGATGCACTGAATGGGATCATGCTCTCATCCTATTGCTCAGATGAAAGTCCTAACTTATTCCCCTCTTGTTTTGCACTCACAGCTGTATAATCTGGCAGCCTCAAGGCCAGCGATCTATAGATGGATTGGCTTGCACGATGTGAAGAAGAGAAGACCATACTGGATGTCTGTGGTTGTGTGTTTATTGCATAACTTTCATTTTTCAGCTTGGGAAGATGACCTGAAGAAATGGATAGAAACATTTACTTACATCTGAAGCTCCCCTTTCAACTCCACCCAAGTTATAAGTGGACAAAAAAAAAAAAGCTAACAACATAATTTAAGATGAAATTGCTCAGATATTTTCAATATTTTAGTTTTACACTTCACTGTATTTAAGCGACAGTTTTCATTTGGAGGCAAAGAATTCTCTCAGGGACTGAAAAACCTCAGAGTCACGAGCTGATGGATAACTACTGGTAATAAAACATGACCACGTTAGAAAACCGATGTTGTTCCACATCCCTTCTCCCCCGTACAGAAACATTTTCAAAGGACGTATGATCGAACGGCTTAAAAAGTTTCTACATTAAAACCGGTTATGTATAAGTTACTGCAAACACTGTCAAATACAGTAGATCAATTATTATCTGTGTACAATTTCACAAAGCAATGGTGTACAATAATCACGAACATGATTGATAGCAGCTTTAAATGGTTTTGCAGTTATAAGAAAGGCAACGTTGCATTTGTGCTAATAAAAAAAAAAAAATCATCAGCGGTGTTTGGTTTCCAGAGCACAACACAGCTGCATTAAATTTTGCTCCCTGCAGCAAAAACAAATAATATTGTTTTACGCACATTTTCCAAGGAGCAGGATTGATTTCGATTCACATTTGTGGTTATGCACCTGATAATGACTACAAATCCTATTTACCACTGCACAGAGATTTATATCTCTTATATATTTATGTATATATCCTTCCAGTCAGCAGACGACCTCCTCCTCCACCACAACCACCTCTTCGCAGCCATGATGGCACTACGTAAACCTTAATGTGATCAGTTCATAGAAAAAGTGGATTACGCAGAAGTCCAAGGGAGAAGGAGCTGCTCTAATTGACAGCAGTGACTGGAGACAGATCCCAGCAGGAAAGGGAAGCTGATGGAGGAAATGTCAGCCGCATTACGTTGATGTTGACGGAATGCACAGAGGAAAACGTTCCTATGGACGTGAATCAGACCATCTCGACTGTGTGCACGCTCAGGACAACACAGTCGGGGCTCTTTGTTAGTTCAGCACAAACAGCGGGTCGTTCACTTTGGCTGCCAGAAACCACGGCGCCTTTAAAATTTTGTAAGATGGTGGCTCTCACTCAGAGAGTTCAAATAAACCGGTCTTACTCAGATTTTTGTCT